AACGGGTGGCGGCGGTCAACGCCTTTGAGACCTGCCCCACGGCCCCCGGTTGGGCCGTAGCCCTCCTGTCCACGGTGCCCGGTGAACCTGCCCCGATTTTGGCCCAGGGCACCCTGAGACCGCCAATTTAAGGACCACAAACGGGAGGAGGGCTTCAGCAGGGGAGCTGGTGCGTCCTGCCGCGTGTTTGAAAACATGCCTCTGAAACATAACCCAGAAGGCTAAGCTGTAACAGATGCCTCTTCCACACACGTCGTCTCACAAAAGCCAGCGCTTTGCGATGGCTTCTGAGCCAGGGCAGGGTTCTTCGACGCCAGGCGCAACGGCAGAAGAAATGTCCTCCTGAGAAGACGCTCAGGTTGTGTAAACCAGCGCGGTAACATTGATGGAAATCCAAACGCATCAGTTTTCAGTCATTTAACTCTCTTTCATTTAAGCGGTGAGTCTTTCTTTTCCCCTGCTGCCCCCACTACTGAAAGTTTATGCAGAAAGCAAGGGGTAATTCTAAATTTCAGGAATATGAGTGTGATTTTCAGAAAGTGAAAATACCCCATTATTTGTCCAAATTAGCAAATTACCCATGCAACCCCATTAACGGTGCAGTGGGTGAATGTCAGCATAGATCATTACACTTAACGGCTTTTTAAATTCCCAGATTTGAATTTTGAAGGGCATTTAGTATGCGAATATGATGTCTGTATGTAGATAAACCATATGTGGCTCATGATTTTATGCGAAAGATGATCAGTCAGACAATATTGTCCACATAAGACCCAACTGGTATATTCTACAGTTTGCTTCCATTAGGTTTTGGGAAAAATGAGTCACAATGTCGTGCATGTTACTAATTCTCACCTTCCACCACAAAGTATCAATGTCTCAGTGCCAGACTTGGAATAAGAGCAAAAAAATTGGTAAAGTTCATATGATCGTTGACTAGAAGATAGGTGAACTTAAAAAAAACTTTTGGGTCTCAGGTAGCTATTTGTTATTTTGATTCCATAAGAGTATTCTGCTGTTTGGCCCATTGTAACAATTTTGACCTTTTGTCCTAAACTCTTTTTGAAAAATATCTAGACGCTTCTTGCTTCCTGAATAATGAAATGCTATTATTTCATTTGTTCATATAGAGTAAAATCTCACTTATCTGTACCCCTTTGATCTGAAACTCACTCCTTTGAATCTAGGTTATGTCCCCCTGGTGTGAATTACTTATACAATAACTCCCTCAATTATTTGAAGGCCTATTTATCCAAATGTTTTGATGTTCCAAAAGCATTTTGAATAAACAGGCCTCTACTGTCATTGGATATATCAGATATCTTTGGGGATGCATATAGGATGATTCCCCTGGCCTTATTCTGTATCCTCTTGTGCGTAGATGAACAGGCAGCGTAAACTTAAGTGTACAGTTAGTACATTGGCACCATCTTCAGTACTTTTACTTGTGTTCCCATTGATGATTTTACTTTCCTTTTTCTTCTTAAAGAACTAAATCCCTGAAATTTCACTCAGGAAGGACTCCCACATATGCTAGTAAAAGTTCTGCTCGAGTAGTGATCTAGAATTTTTCTTAGTATTATCATACTTCTGAAACAATGCTTAGATGCTTGTCTTTGCCTTTATTCTTATTTAATGTTCTGCTTTTAACAATTTTTAAAATGTATATTAACCATCTAATTTTACTGAAGTCAATTGTTATCCTCATTGATTGAACAGGCCATGTCAGCTTGAGGTCTAACAGGCACCATGAAGCGCCACGAAGCCAGCAGAAATGTGAGTTGTATGGCATGAGGAATAAGGTCTGTAAGTCCCATAAGAATCTTAAGGGTCAATATGGATCATGGAATGATGCAAGGAACTAGAGAAAAAGCAGGTCCATGAGGGCATTATATACAATATAGCCCATTTTTAATTTGTTTGGTTGGATGTTTTCCATTGTGTTCTATTTGGTCTCTGGGCGAATGGTGCCTCCAAGGTTTGGAGTGCTCCGTATAATTACATTGGACTTTTTCCTTCAAAATACCACTGGAGAGATTTCCTATTTCAATCTCAGAAATTTTGAGTCTAAAAATTTCAGATCCAAAATCAAATATGAATTTGAATTTCAAAATATTGTGGAATTTTTTTTAATTTTACAAAAATATTGCCTTTAGAAAACAAATATTTTCAAAATGTTCCAAATTTCTATGAGATTGTTTTGAAATAGCTCTAGCAATAGTTAACAGGCACCTTTTATTCTTTAATTATTAAACCTTCTTCAAACTTTAGCAGGAAAAGTATTGAAACCAGTACAGTGTTCAGCATTTGCAAATGTTTGCAATCAGCAAATTTGAATAGTTGTCCTGTTCACACACTTACACGATACACCTTTGATAAGTGGTACTGGGAATTAAAAATTTTAGGAATCACCCTGATTGCAAAGTTACTCTGTAATAAGCTGAGCCAGTTATTTGTGTGACCTTTGTGCATCAATACTGTCGAAAATACCTATATAATTACACCGAGCTGCATCGTCCTCTACTTTAGATATGTACCATCTTCTGGAGAAGCCCAGGTAGACCCTAAGAAAAGAAAGAAAGGGATTTTGGTAATGTATATGAATGATGTTTCAAACTCTTGCAATACCATTAGAGTTCAGACACCTTTCCTACCAACCAGCTAGTGCTGGGGAACTTAGACTAGCTAACGCTAGTTACTGGAAGATAGTACTTCCACAAAGACTCGCACATTACCAGCTCCTAATCTGGTCCACATAGCTCAGCAGAGGTACACCCTGGTAGTGTTTAGATACTTTGCAGAATGTCTTAGGATTCTTAGTATTCCATGTATTCTATTCCCTCATTTTTAAGGATCACACAGAAAAAATGAAATGTTAGCTGGTTAT